GGTTTTCTCATTCCCATGTGTGTAGGAATCAATTTTTCAAAAAATAAAATTAACAAATAATAATAAAAAATAAATATATAATATATATTATAAATTATGATTAAAATATATTAAATAAAATTATTTTTTTAAAAAAAAAATCAAATAAAAAAATTGAAAACTTACTTTTATTTATTTTTTAATTAGATATATTAAATACTTATATAAAAATAAAACTAAAAAAACATTTATATATAATTTAAAAATATATTATTTTATTTATATATATTATTAAAAATATATTATTTTTTATATATTAAAAATATATTACTTTTAAAAATATATTATTGAAAAATATTAAAAATATATTATTTTATTTTTAAATATTATTAAAAATATATTATTTTAAAAAATAAAATTCAAATAAAAAATTGAAAACTTACTTTTATTTACTGTTTAATTAAAAAATAAAATATATATTACTTTTTATTTTTAAATATTATTAATAATATATTATTTTTTATATATAAAAAATATATTACTTTTAAGAATATTTTATTTTTTATATAAAATTTAAAAATATATTATTTATTTTTATATATTATTAAAAATATATTATTTTTATATTATTCAACAATATATTATTCTATTTTTATATATTATTCAAAATATATTATTTTATTTTTATATATTATTAAAAAAGCATTTATATATAATTTATTAAAAGTATACTATTTTTTAAAAAAAACTTTTACTTATTTTTATAATAAAAGATGATAATGTCATTCCATTCTAGTCTTATTCCTTCTGCATACCAAACGCATGAATGACAAAACATGTTTCATTCCATTCCCATAATCATTCCATTCTTCAATTCATTCTATTCCTACGAAATTCCATTCCTTCATACCAATCATGCCATAAGAACAATTTTGCACGCATTAGATGATGATTGAAATAAACATAAAAAGTGAGCTGCCCCAATAATCGTGGTCCGATTTTTATGGCTTCAAGACGTGTATGCAATTTGAATTTGAATTAAATAAATAACCCTACAATTTAGCACGCATTAAATAATGAATGATTTTCAGTTTGAATTCAATAAATATTCCTACAATTTAGCACGCATTAAATGATGAATGATTAAAAAATTAAAATATTTCCACAAATAGTATGAAATAAATGTAGTCTGAAATTTACTACCTACTATTTTTGGTAAATGTTAATTCTTATTATATATATATAGATGGTAACTATTCAATGGAAGTGCGTTAAACATTCTCCAAGTGTTCAAAACTTTCACACTGCTACAAACTACCAGCGCCAATAAAGAATGATCTTTGAGATAAACCGTCCTATCTTTAGAAACTTATTAATATAGACAATGAGAACATGGACGAATACTTGTGCTCAGGTCACTTAAGACGAGGATTGGAAACACTAAAGTCGGCTAAAGTCAGCGGTTAGGATGAACAGATACAAAAAATGATACACAGGTTGACTCATGACAAGGATCGGAAGTACTAAAGTCGATAGAAAGCTCGAGAGACAAGCTACAAGCACGAGAAAAAAACATATGACCATAAGAACTCGCATTTCACCATCACTTGGGATTAGGCAAATTTGGGCGAGATGTCTACTAAATGCACTAAAAGCAATATTTCGATCATTAGATAGGAGAGATGAAAGCATTTGAGTAATTTGAACCTTGAGGTAGTACGGCATGCTAGAAGCAAGATGATTAGTTTATGAAAGGGAAATCTGTGACCTGATTTTTTTAATGTGTGAAACAAATAGCAAAACGAATTACATGGAAGAAATAAGATGCGAGAGTGATGAGATAGACGTGTCAATTCGAAGCCTGCCATATTTTTACGTATAAAAAAATGTAATGCAGTCATAATAGCAAATACGGAGGCATGTTAAGCAATGACACAATCCCAACATATCCAATCCCAAACATCAATGGGTAACATAATATATATCTATCTTGCTTCATCAATCTCAATCATAAAAGTAGTTTCAAAATATGTTGACATAAAAACACATCGAGCAAATGGATATAGCTAACAAGCACAATAGCTCAGTTAAGTATCATCAACGGAATAGATAAAANNNNAAAAAAAGTATCATCAACAGAAAATCTGCAGATGATCCAAACGGAATAAACACCACAAACTAACAAAAAGCTTACACTTGGTAAAGTTCAAATACTGTCTCATATTTTATCAACAACTGATATATATAATATAAGGATGACCATGTATGTAATCCTTTAAACATTCTTAAATTTTACAGAATCACATAAAACATCGTCCACTTTCACTAAATAACAGCAATGACACACACGAGACATAATGAAGATCAAAATCCCAGAAGTTCTTTATTACCTATTAAAATTACATACCACACAAACCAATAAGAACAGTAAAAAGCAGATTGCTAATATAAAAATTCCAAATATAAACCAAACCCCACAACGGCAAAATTGTCCATATCCACACCAAAACTCACCTGTCACTGCTGCAAATTCCTCACTTGCTGCTTGATATTCTCCGAAGGTACCTGACCTGATGCATCCGGTACAACCACAGCAGGGGCTGATGTAAGGGTCTGGTAGTGAGCAGCCAACTGTGGCGGCAAAGCCTGGTTATAATACATCTGAGCATGATTAGGATCGGTTAGCTCATAAGCATAACTCGAATTAGCCGCCACAGATTGGGATGGATGATGAATCTGACTGAACCCTACATATTGGGCCTGATGCTGACTAGACGGGACCTGGATCAATTGTGGGCCCGACCCAATTGCTGTCCGGTAAACACCTGTAGACATTTCGGGCTTAGAAGGAGCACTTACAGCTTGATTAAAAGTGCCGAGGGGTGTGGCTGAAGAAGGAGGAGTTTGTGACGGAGCATTTGGCGCTAATTCATTGTTGTAGTTTGCTTGCTGCATTGGGATGTTGTACCCTGGGGTATGTGTATGTCTAGCTTGAATGAAATAGAACGGGTATTGCTGATCCATTGCAGGCTGGTGCAGATGATTTTGCTGCTGGGGAGGGTAAATGGGGTAATAAGATGTAATGGGAACGGGTCCAGCAGAAATATATTGACTACCGGGATGAATGAATTGTTGTTGTGGCTGATGTAACTGAGGATGATTTTGTTCGTATTGTTGGCCAGGTAAGATGTAGCCGGATGATTCTTGGATTTGGGGGGTTGGTTGCATTTGAATTTTAGCATTGTTTTGATCACCGGAATTTTGATCGGGCTGATTAACAGCGACCCTAGCATTTCCAGATTGTAATTGCAGGATTGATTCTTGATACATAGCTTGTCTCTGTTTGTTTAATGGATTTGCCATACTTCCTTCACTGTATAAATCAAGTCATTCAACATATTACTTCCAGAATTCTAATTTATAATCACATAGGACGAGATTCAGATCAATGTAAAGTTTATTTTGTATTTGATAAATTTTTATAGCAGTGTACCTTGAAACTGAATCTGGAGAAGCTAAATCGAAGGCCACAGGTTGCCTCTGCTGGAACTGAGGAATGGGCAGCTGTGGTAATCCATGCGGCTGAATCTGTTGTGGCTTTCTGTACCCACCTTGTTCGGATCTTTCATCATCGGAGATAACCCGATTGAGATTAGGGTAATCGCCGCCAACCACCACCGGAACACCAGAAACCACCGGCCCAACTGCCGCCACCAAACCTCCAGCCTCCTCCAGCTTTTGCGGAACCCCCAAATTCATCTGCTGAAGCTGATCCTCAATTCCCACCTTCGGATTCTCCTCAACGTGAACCCTAATTGGGGGCAAATTGGCCACCGACGGAGTACTCGAGGTGGACCCAAACGACGACGTCGTTTCCAGCATAGGAGAGTCAGGAACCGAATTCACATCGTGATTATTCGCGTTACTGTTCCCGTTTCCGCCAGATTTAGAATTCTCGATCTGGGCCTCGACATCCTTCGCAGCCGCCGCCGCCGTCTTCCCGACTAAATCGTCATCCAATCCAAGGAGACAATTGATAGATGAAGACTCCGAGAGGCCACGGTCACTGGCGCCGGCGGACAGAGTACTCGCCTTGCCGTTGAGAGCGTTAAAAAACCAGTCCTCCGATTTGGTAGAAGCCGTCTCCACCAGAAGCTGCTCGATGTTGTTGGAGGAGGTTTTCGGGAACAGAAATAGGCGGAGGCGGCCGCTTTTCGCCGCTCCCGCGGCGGCGGTGGCGGGATTGTTGAGGCGGTCGTACTCCTCCACCATGTTCTCGAGATCTTCATCCGTGGTGACGGAAATTAAGGAATCGAGGTCTTCGTTGGGGAGCTGATACTTTAGGGTGAAGGGCTGGTTGTGGAGGAGGGTTTTCGAGAAGCGCTGGCGGAGATCGGCGAGGGATGTGTGGCGGTCGATGACGATGATGCGAGTGTCCCCGCCGATGTAGCAGAGGGTTTTGTCGTGGGGGCGGGGGACTATGTGGCCGCCATAGCTGCACATGAGGCGGAGCTTTTGGGGCGGCGGAGGATCAGCATCCCAGGAGTCGGTCTGGCGAGAGCGAGGGGAGGAGTCGATGGAGTCCGGGGAGACAGCAGCCGTGGGGTTGGTCGGGGCGCCGGCGAGTGGCGGGGGTGGAGTTGGGGCCTCCATAGAAGGAGAGGAGTTGGAAAATGGGAAAAGGATGAGAGAGAGAGAGAGAGAGAGAGAGAGGTTGGGCTGGGCTTATTGGACTTTTGCCCTTTATACTCTTCTTGCGCACTCCAGCTGTTTACTCCATTTTATTATTTATTATTTAGTTGAGATTCTTCTTATTATAATAATTCTCTTTTTGGTTTCAATATTTTGATAATTATATTTTAATTTACTGTGTGCATTACAACCTACACAAATAGAGATTAACAAAAATATATTCGCAATTTATCTTCGCAATCAAAAAATAATTATCAAGATATAAGTAATATTGAGGATTATCAAAATCGAGCTTGAATGAGTGGCATTCATTGTCACACATGATAAATCAAGGTCTCTTTTACTTTATGCCATGGGATTGGACTATTAATTTAGGCGTCGTTTACTTTAGGGGACAGGACAAGAGGAAATTAATCCCTGTCATCCGCCATTTACTTCGAGAAATTGAGATAGGAGTTATCTGATGTGGCGTCCATGTTGCATCTTCATTAACTCCATTTATCAAATATTGGCCGATATAAATGTCCCGCTCTCCTGCCCTGATATTTTAATCCCTTACTGTTCATTCCAAGTTTGCCCTCAAAATTCCTTGTAAAAATACGCAAACACCCCCACACATCCACTAATTTACAATTAAAACCAGTTACATATTAAAATCTATGTTTGCCCTAGTCTGAAATTCCTGTCGACAGAGGAGAGTTTCTTGTTCATGTTCTTCGAGCTCATAGTTGACTCCGTCCGCAAGGTAAGATCGATTCTTGAACTATTCTGTGTGTTTTCTTCACTACCAAGACCCTAGTTGAAGGTCGATTTTTTGTGATTCATCCTTACTTTTGTTGTGTCTGGTTTTTTATTTCACTGATTCGATTTGAATTTGGGGATTTTNAACTAGAGCCGAGTTTTGGAACTGTAATTATCCGTCCATTTTGCCATTTGCCCACAAATTTCCAAAACGTCAAGTTAGTGAATATTTTTCTATGAAAAATAAACGTATTTATGTGAATTTTTTTCCCATCCTCAGATACGAGAACAGATTCGACTTCGAATTTGTGATTCTTGTTGTGTTATTTTGTTTATGAAATTATCGATTGCAACTTCCTCACTGTTACCACCACTGCTAAAGCACACTTCTCGATCTCCGAATATCTCCTCTCCGCACCCTGCATCACCTTGCTTACGTAATAGATTGGAAATTGCACCGTGCCCTCTTCCCGCAATAGAACCGCACTTACCGCCATTTCCCCAATCGATATGTATAGCACTAGATCCTCCCCAGGAACCGGCTTAGCCAATAGAGGCAAATTGGCCAACACCTTCTGTAACTCCACGAATGACCTCTGGGTCTCCTCCGTCCACTGGAATTTCGAGCACTTTCTCAGTGTTCGGAACATAGGACCGCTCTTCTCCGCCACCTTCGATATGAAACGGCTCAGGCCCGCGATCCTGCCCGTCAGGATCTGCACCTCCTTCACCTTTGTGGGCGGTTTCATCTCAATCACCGCCCTCACCTTCTCCGGGTTGACCTCGATCCCCCTCTTTGTCACCATATATCCTAGAAACTTTCTTGGCTTCACTCTAAAAGAACACTTAGCGGGATTCAGTTTCATGCCATACCTCCGCAAAGTCAAGAACGTCTCCTTTAAATCATTCACGTGGTCGGCCTTCGCCTTACTCTTTACCAACATGTCATCAACGTAAACCTCCATACTTCTTCCCAGCTGCTCCTTAAAAATTCTATCGACCAACCGTTGATACGTCGCACCCGCGTTCTTCAAGCCAAAGGGCATCACCACATAACAATAAGTGCTCCTGCCCGTAACGAAACTCACCCTCTTTCTATCCTCCCGAGCCAAAGGGATCTGGTGGTATCCTTGGGATGCATCCATAAGACTGAGCAACTCACACCCCACGGTGAAATCGACCGGCTGGTCGATCCTAGGCAATGGATACAAATCTATCGGGCACGCCTTGTTTAAGTCACGAAAATCAATGCACACCCTCCACTTTCCTACCGACTTAGACACCATCACCGTGTTCGACAACCATTCGGGGAACTGGATCTCCTTAACATGACCCGCCTTCAATAACTTCTCAACCTCCTGCTCGATCACCTTGTCCATCTCTGCGCCATGATGTATCCTCTTCTGTTTCATCGGCCTCACCTTCAAATCAATATTCAAACGATGCTCGATCACCTGCGCCTATCCCTGTTAACTCCTCAGCCGTATACGCGAAAACATCCGCGAACTCCCTGATCAACCCAATCAATCTCGACCTTATGGGCTCCTCGAGCTCCTTTCCTACCCGAAACTTCCTCTCCTCGCATCCTTCCACCATCTGGACCTCCTCGATCTCCCTGTCTGGCTACATCTCCACCTTCTCCTTCCCTTTATCCGCTTTCTCCTTTTCCTCCCTCGACCTCGAACCCCCTGGTCGATTCAACATTCCCTCTTCGAGCTTCTCCTATTTTCTCGAGAGCTGTCTATTGTTGCTCATTGTGGTTTGATAACAACTCCTCAAGGTAAGCTGATCTTCTGTGACCTCACCAACGTTTCCTCCCACTGGATATTTGATCGTCATATGGTACGTCGACACGACCGTCTGGAATGCATTCAAACTGGTCCTTCCCATGATGATGTTGTACGATGAATCTGCTCCAACGACCACAAACCTCACCATTCTCACCTTCTTTGTCGCCCCTTGCCCCAGGGCGACAGATAGACTCACCTCTCCCATTGGCATCATCTTGCCTCCATTAAATCCGTATAAGGCTGTGGTCACCGGCTTTAGCTCGAGATTAAGCTCCCTGTTTATCTACACAAAACAATCATAAAACATTACATCCACCGAACTCCCGCTATCAATGAACGCCCTCTTCACATCAAAACCTGCCACCACCACCGTAATCACTAATGCATCACTGTGAGGCAACACTACTCCCTCAGCATCTTCTGCCCGAAAACTTATTTTCGGCATTCGAGCAGTAATCTCCACTTCCTCTCTTTTCCTTTTCATCGTTCGAACATGCCCCTTCCTTGCATTGTTCGAGTCCCCATCCGTTGGACCTCCCGAAATCATAGAGATCGTCCCTCTCTTCACGGGACCGTGACCCTCTTGGCCTGCTCGATCTCTACTCCCCCATCTCCGTTTTCCTCCAACACCTCCTCGATCACATCTTCCCCCTTGAGGTTCGTCTTCCTCGTCATCATCTCGATCACTCCGCTCCACTGAATCTTCCCGACACCTCCCTTTATCTTTCCCCTTCACCTTGTCCTCATACACAAATTCCTTGAGATACCCTGCCCGAATGAGGCGCTCAATCTCACCTTTGAGGTGTCTGCACTTCTCCGTCGTGTGCCCGTAATCTTTGTGGAAACGACAATACTTCCTCGGCCTAGGTTGTGTTGACCCCTCATGCCTCGATTTCGGCCGCGTCACGTCCTTGTCCTTTATTTTCTTCTCGATGGCCACCAGCACTTCTCCCATCTTTGCATTCAGCGGCGTAAAGTTATGGAACCGCTTCCCTCCAAACACTGGTTGATCCTTCCACCTGTCCTCGTCCATGATCCATCCGGCTACGCCACTCTCTCCTGGGCGATCTCCTCCTAGGTGACACCCTTCGAGGCGAGTTCGCCCTTCCTTTCTTCGGCTCCGGCTTAGCTAATTCCTCCAACTTAGCAACTCCACCTCTGTCTCCTCCAAGTTAATGTACTTCTTGCACCTCTTCAACTCGTCATCATACGTACGAGCAGGGGTTTTGGCTAAGGATGCTCGACAAGGCCCTGCTGGCAAACTCCTTATCAACCCTCCTTCACCTCGTCCGCGGCCGTGGGGATCTCCAAACAAGTTTGATTATATCGAGCTACATACTTGCGCAACGACTCTTTCTCCCCCCTGCCTCATGGCCATCAGCGTCAAATACGTCTTCTCCTGTGCCACAGCGCTCACGTATTGGGTCATCAACTTCTCCGCGAAATCGTCGAAGTCCTTGATCGATCCATGAGGGAGCTGCTGGAACCAATCGAGCGCGCCTCCCCTCAAAGTCGATAAGAATGCCCTGCAGCTAACAGAATCAGAATAGCCATGTAGCACAGCCAAGTTCTCAAACGCCCTTACGTGCCTCGACGGGTCAGTAGTCCCATCGAACACCAAACTCATGTCTCTGAAATTCGCGGGTAATGGTGCAGCCAATATATCCCTCGAGAACGGGTGCCCTCGAGCACGCCTCTCAGGTCAGCCATCCATCTTGGCTTGCATCTGCCTCACCTGCTCCGCGAGTCTCTCCACCTCCCGATCTCGCAGAGCTCCATCTCCTCCATAGCTAGACACATCCTCATCTACCATCGTCGGCCCAGCAGCCACTCGCGAAAGGCTTTAGGTAACTTGCTGAACCGCTTGTGCCGCCGCGTTCGCCACCATCTGTTGCATCTCCTGCATCTCCTGCCTGGGCATCACCACCTGTTGGCCGGGGCGCTGCTCCTCCATCGGCGACGGTGCTGCTCTCTGTACGACCGCTTCTTGCTGCGGCATCACGGCCAGATCTGGTTGCAAAGCGTTAGGATCGCCGCTCCTTGAGCTGTACGGGCCTCCTGTGCTCGGCTTGAGCCCACGTCAGCCTCTGGTTGCACCGATGTGACTTCTACACCTTGGGGAACGGGCGTCGGAGTCACCGGTGTACGCAAGGGTCCAGAGAAACCCAGGGGAGGGCCTTCTCCAAACGGCCTCGTCGTCGTCCACGCCTCGTCGAACGATGCGTGCAAATCTCTCCTAGGAATTCCGTCCGCCATAGCCACCGAGCTTCAGTACTCTCAGCACACTACTTTTCGAATGAAAGTCCCACAGACGGCGCGAAATGGTAACGCAATTTTGACAACAATTTTGACAATTGTATCACTATACAACCTTCAAGTTTATTTTGTCTCACTTTTCTTATATACCCCAATTTTATGTCCGTATATAGTACTAAGTGTCAAATTAAACCCATCAAACATTCATGATAATGGCCCACCATAAGTGTTCCACGACTCGTGGCCAACACAAAGACGAATCCATCTCACGAGCATCTCAATGCTTAGTAGAGATCATAGCTTTCA